TTCTCTCTCCTCTCTCCTCTCTTCTCTCTCTCTCTCTCTCTCCCCCTCTCTCTCTCTTTCTCTCTCTCTATCTATCTATCTATCTATCTATCTATCTATCTATCTATCTATCTATCTCTCAAATTTAATTATAAATATTTTTTAATTTCTTATCTTGCTTTTTCGAAACAGAGATTTATTAAATCGTTATGCAGAACATGATATATGACTCACTGGATTTGTAAGTACTATTTTTGCGTCTCTCATACGAACGACAATACATTGTTCCCCTTTCACGTGCTGAAAATCCGCGCTAACTTCCTCAACCTAAAAAAAATTTATTTATACATATATTGAATATTACACATATAATATATGTTTGATATATATGTAGAATTAAATTATTTATATATATAACATAATAAAATAATAAAAATATAAATTAGTTTAAACTAGAATTATTTTCCTTTTTTCTAAAAGACATTCCATGATAATTTTGTAGAACTTATTCAATATTAATTTATGTATATATTATTTTCTAATGGTATTTGAAACAAAATACATGATTTCTATTATTAATCGAGTTCAAGTAATATAAATTTATTTATTCGTTTACCTGGTCAAGAAAAACAAGTTCAGGCTTTGTCGTGGACTCGGGATGCAATTCTAATCTATTAGGATACAGTTTTGCATAACGCGTTTGCCACGCACTCGCGAAAGGACCACCCAATTTTTTAATATAACCGTGTAAAATGCAATCAGATCCTACAACAAATATAATCTTCGATATAATCAAAATATTATTACACGATAGAATTATCATTTTTCTTACCTTTTTCATCCGCGTCGAATCGCTGTTTCTGTTTAGCTTTTTTCTTATTTTCCAACTAAGAAGGCAAGAAAAATAAATAAATTAAGAAGAAAAAGAAAAAGAGAAAAAAGAAAAGGAATGGAATAAAAGTAGCGATAAAATATTAATCCTTTCGTTCAATTTAATCATAGTAACACTTTTAAAAATATTGCGTGTATGTAAGATTATCTCCCTAAACAAACTTCTCGGAAAGGTATTCTGAAATTCTGAAAAACTGCTTCTTTTTTGAAAGGGATAAGAAGAGGATAAGAAGAAAAGTAAGAAATATGGAACTATTCATACCTTGTCCGCCTCGTTATTGATTGTCTCGAACACAGTTTCGGCTACCTCGGCCTGCCATCTCTCCGAGATGGTTAAAGGGAAATTTTTGTACAGTTCTTGATCCGCATCCGTCAATTTGATACCCTTAGTGTCTTCCTCGTCGAAGGAACCGATATCGAAGGCATCTGCGGCGTTCACCTCGCCGCGCGGCGGTATAAGCGGTGGCGTGTATTTCTGGAGATAAACTTGTTGCCAATCGATACCACTGAAAAACGGGTGTTCTTTTAACTCGTCCGCACCTGCACCTCGACATCCAAGTCTGTTGTTGATATCTCGTTGTAGCAGACCTTCCAGCAATGAACGCAATTCTCGTGAGAACGTTTCTGGCAGTTCTACGTTCTGAAATTATTTATTTTTCCAAATTTTAATATTTATCGTCTCGAAATTTCGAACATATATTCGTGTATGTCATTCATTTACGATACAAGCGACGAAAACGATACCTTTCAAAAGTATTTGATCAAATAAATCTTTGTTCGTTATCTCGTATTAGTGTGGAAAAGAATAGAAAGAAAAAAGAACTTTTTTTAAGCATTTTTTTTAATCACATATTTTGTTACTTTCATTCCTTTTAAATCCTTAAAAAAAGAAAAAGAAAAGTAGTAATCGAAGAAGAAAGATTATTTGATCAAATTCACAAACACACTTGCGATGCGATAATTTGTGTACAAAACAATACGTAGAGAATCTCAGTAACGAACCTTGGTTAATGTCATATGATCTATTTCATGTTTGTCTTTAGTTTTATGTTGTCTGAATGGACTATGACCCTTCAACAATTTATGCAGCATACAACCGAACGAGAACCAATCGGCGCTGGAATCGTAGGTTACACCTTTCGAAAGCACTTCCGGTGCCATATATCCGTGCGTTCCTCTGAAAAAAAATATTTTTCATCGTTTATTCACGAAAATATGACAACGGTCGTATTAAAAAAAAAGTAATATCTTAAGGATAATAAAAGATTCGAACGATGATATATATACATATATATATATATATATATATATAAAGAAATGATTTTTACCGTCAACCCTAATTACTTACACGCTTGCGTGCGGTTCTTTTTGGAGAAATCGCAAGCCAATCCCAAATCCGATATTCTGACGTGGCCATGCTCGTCCAGAAGGATATTGGCCGGCTTCAAGTCTCGGTAAACGATGTATCTACGGTGCATGTGTTCCAATCCCAATATTACTTCTGCCGCGTAAAACTTCATCTCTCGCTCGTTGAACACTCCGTGCTGGCTTAGATGGTAATGAAGATCGCCACCGTTCATCAGATCCAGAATGAAACACAGTTTGTCCGGCGTTTGGAAGGCGTACGTCATGCACACTATAAACGGACAATCGACCTGCAATAAACGTGAACGTGAATTTTATTATATAAAGTAAAAAGTTGTTATAATTATTATACACATATTTATATATCTTATATATATATATATAAGATAGATTTTTTCAAAGGTTAAAATCTATCGTATTTTTAAGATGTTATTACAAGGTCGAGTTAAAGCTTACTCCAGTACTGACTGCCGAAAGCATTATCCTTTCGTTGAGCGCTAAAGTTTCGCCTTGCTTCATTTTTATTCGTTTCTTGTCAAGGCATTTCATCGCGTACATTTTTCCCGTGTCCGCTTTTCGACACCCGTAAACTTCTCCAAAACCGCCTCTTCCTATTATTCGATGCACACTGAAGTCGTTCATCGTCAGCTGAAAACAGGGTTAACGTTCAACAACGAATATTTCCATCGTTTTAATATCGTTAACGTTATATCCAATTTTTTTCGAAATCGAATACCATTAACCCTTTGCATCCTACATTTTATTATTATACATATATTTGTATAATGTAATATATTACGTTCTATCACATGCACATGATTACAATTACATTGATATAACTCTTGTTACTCGATCGGTAACCTTGTTAAGTAGAAATACGAGTGCAAAGGGTTAAAATAATTAATGCGTTTGTGACAAAAAATTTGTAATCGTACCTGCATGTTCAATTCTAGGTTTTTCCATTGACAAAATCGCGTGTACTTCTCGCTGAAAATATAAAAACGGTATTTCTTAGCAATGTGTTCTCAAAAAAAAAAACCTGAGCAAGAAGCTGAGGGAGACAGACAGCTGGACGTTGGTCACATTCCTTTTTCGTCCACAACATACCTCTCGAGAAACTTTTTGAACGGTTCCGCTCTCAAGTGATTAAAAATCTCCTCGATATACGGCTGTAAAGTGATCCGATATTAAAATAGAACGAAAAAAAAATTGCGTCTCGCGCGTATTAATCTCTCATCGATATCGTAAGATTCGATTAATAAGATTAGGAAAGGACCAACCTCGAACAAATTAACGGGAACCTCGTTTTTCATAAGATATTTGTGAACGTGGGACACCGCTTCCGACGAGTATTCCTGAAATCAAAAATGTATCCCCTACTGATTAAACGATAAATCGACACTGTCTTCGAAAAAAACATCCCTGAAAAAGATAATCTCCTTACGTAAGACGACAAAATTCGAAACTAGTTATGCCCTTTTAATTCCATCCAATATGACGTGATTAAACATTTTCTTAATCATTTTTTACGTTCTCTCTCTCTTCTTTCTTTTTTTTTTTTTTTTTTTACATTACTATTTTTCTCAAAGTAGACCA